ATACTTTTGATAATGCTATCAGAATAAATGTTAGAATGTAAATCCATATAATGATTTTTTTTGGGTAGAAATACTACCTTTGCGATGAAATAGGCTTAATAAACGTATTGGTAAGCACTATGATATGACATACGACAACTATTGACGATGTCCTTAACTTTGGAAAGGCACATAAGCATGTGGTGGAGTACCTCAACCCTTCCCCTTTTTAATCTCGATCAGTAGATTATCAAAACGTACAATAATAAAATCCAGTACATGTTAAATGTTGAATGATTGCTGTCTAATTGAACAAATAACAACCTTTCTTTTATTCTATAGCCATGTCTACAGTTATAGATGTAAGCAAAAACCAATAAGAGCATATTTAGTGATAAATCAAAAATTAGAACAATTGAATAGTTGATGAATTGTAAACGAAAAAGAGATGACCGTCCGATTAATGTCATCTCAGGTTCTGAAAAAAAATGTATGCCATAAAGAAAAGAGTTCATGACACACAATAACATAGGTGATTTATAGACCTTTTGAAAGCAGTCATCATATTCAGATTAGGATTGTACGATATGTACACAAAAATCGTGAATTTTAATCTATTTTAGTTTAGGTTCATCACACAATCAACCAAAAAATTGGAACACAGACAAATAACTATCAACGAAGTTTTTCAGTTAGTCAAAATTAAAAGGTTTCAGTCGTCATGAAGTAAACAACTCCACTTCATTGATGGAATAAAAAACGAAATACAGATTTGCATCGTCTTACGAAGAGTCATCGACATTTACACCCAAATCCTTCCTGTGTATACAATTATTTCTTTGATGAATAATCAATGTCTTCCGCAAGTCATTTTACGTTATAAGTATTTAACGGAAACATTATAAAACTTACAAAAATTTTGATTTAGTCAGATAAGAGTTCAAATTTAAAAAATCTTCCTTAAGAAATCAATTATATCTATAAATCTTAATGGTATTGTTTGTTATAATTGTTTTGTTTGTACTTTTGTTTTAAAAGTAAAATATTCATTAAACCCTCATCATAAAGTTTCGTGCTTTTTCCTGTTATTATTTTCATTACATAGTCTACTAATAAGCATACAAAGGGAGCAGTAATGAAATTTCTAGGCTATATTTTTGAATAGTTTAACCCACCACATGCCAAGTTCATGCATGTGTCTGTCTTTAGTCAATGGTTGTCATTAGTCGTATTTTAAATACATTTGTGTCTTTAGAGAATTGGATATTATGACAGTTTTTCATAGTCTCGGTTGTAAATTTCTTAAATATTTTCTCATTGAATCCTGTTCTTTTTTAGCAAACGGTAATATTATAACTACTTTTTTACGGCACTGTTCTTTTTGGTGCCTCGTTCAAGCCATCACGATTTCTTGAAAATTCAAACTTAAGACAATGAACAAATAGCTGTCAGTATCTGCGAGTACTCTTAGATCTATACTTAGTGTATTTTTGTTTTTGGGATGTATAAGTACCCGTCCACGTCCACTTTGTGTTTTTGTTCGATGTATTGCTATTTTTATCTTTCTGATGAGTTAAGCTTTTTTCAACTGATTTTTAGCTCACCTTGCCCAAAGGGCCAAGTGAGCTTTTCTCATCACTTGGCGTCCGTCGTCCGTCGTCGTCGTCCGTCGTCGTCCGTCATTGTTAACTTTTACAAAAATCTTCTCCTCTGAAACTACTTGGCCAAATTTAACCAAACTTGGCCACAATCATCATTGGGGTATCTAGTTTAAAAAATATGTCCAGTGACCCGGCCAACCAACCAAGATGGCCGCCATGGCTAAAAATAGAACATAGGGGTAAAATGTAGATTTTGGCTTATATCTCTGAAACCAAATCATTTAGAGCAAATCTGACATGGGGGTAAAATTGTTTATCAGGTCAAGATCTATCTGCCATAAAATTTTCAGATGAATCAGACAACCCGTTGTTTGGGTTGCTGCCCCTGAATTGGTCATTTTAAGGAAATTTTGCCGTTTTTGGTTATTATCTTGAATATTATTATAGATAGAGATAAACTGTAAACAGCAATAATGTTCAGCAAAGTAAGATCTACAAATAAGTCAACTTGACCAAAATGGTCAGTTGACCCCTTAAGGAGTTATTGCCCTTTATAGTAAATTTTTAACCATTTTTCGTAAATTTTTGTAATCTTTTACAAAAATCTTCTCCTCTGAAACTACTTGGCCAAATTTAACCAAACTTGGCCACAATCATCATTGGGGTATCTAGTTTAAAAAATGTGTCCGATGACCCGGCCAACCAACCAAGATGGCCGCCATGGCTAAAAATAGAACATAGGGGTAAAATGTAGATTTTGGCTTATATCTCTGAAACCAAAGCATTTAGAGCAAATCTGACATGGGGTAAAATTGTTTATCAGGTCAAGATCTATCTGCCCTCACATTTTCAGATGAATCGGACAACCCGTTGTTGGGTTGCTGCCCCTGAATTGGTAATTTTAAGAAAATTTTGCAGCTTTTGGTTATTATCTTGAATTATTATATTATTATAGATAGAGATAAACTGTAAACGGCAATAATGTACAGCAAAGTAAGATTTACAAATAAGTCAACATGATCAAAATTGTCAATTGTCCCCTTAAGGAGTTATTGCCCTTTATAGTCAATTTTTTACAATTTTCATAAATTTTGTAAATTTTTGTAAATTTTTACATAATATTTTCCACAGTAACTACTGGGCCAAGTTCATTATAGATAGAGATAATAGTAAGGAGCAAGAATGTTCAGTAAAGTAAGATCTACAAACACATCACCATCACCGAAACACAATTTTGTCATGAATCCATCTGTGTCCTTTGTTTGATATGCACATAGACCAAGGTGAGCGACACAGGCTCTTTAGAGCCTCTAGTTACATCGAATGACCGTGAGGGCATTCCAGTGTATTGCTGTCGCCTAGATTTCCATTACGTAACTTTCGTGTTGGGATTGTAACCGATCTATAAACATGATAAACACGCGGACATTATCGAGTGCAAAAATAACATTCCTTATCACTTGTTATAAATTCATTTTTTCAATGGATACTCCTAAAAATATTTTTTTAGAACATAAATAAATAATATGAAAATGTTTTGTCGTTAGAAATATATATATAAGTAAAAAATCTTTAATATCTATGCACACGTACAGAAAATGTGTGTTAACGCATGCGGAAGAATATCTCAAGAACATTTGCAATCTCCCATGCAGAGTTATCGGTCCTCGCTCTCTCTCAAGGACCGATAACTCTGCATGGGAGATTGAAAGTTTGGCGGGAAAATATGAATGCCTACTCAAATTCAACTTATTAGAAAAATCGAATTATTACAGAAGAGTGTCCACCATGCACTTGCACTGCACTATTATTAATATAGTAGAATAGAATGATATACAAATCGATGAAAATTATATATACATGTAACTGTAACATACAAATATTAATATAATATATAACAACAAATCAGAGTATACTGATTTGTATCACTTCAATATCATATTTATTACGGTGAGGTTGAATTCCCTGTCATTTATTTATCAAATAAAAATATATCTATACATTAACCTCACTTTCAGGTATAGAGATGTGATTTTTTTTCTGAGACAAGTGCTTGTTACCATCCACAAGAACTTGCAGTCATCCAATGTTCAGTACTTCAGTACTTTGATTATAGTTTGTTCTTATGTTGTACTGTTACACCACTGTCCCAGGTTAGGGGAGGGTTGAGCAGTCACAAACATGTCTTACCTCGCCGCATTCTTTATGTGCCTGTCCCAATTCAGGAGACTGTAGTTCAGTGGTTGTCGTTGGTTCATGTATGTCATATTTGTTTTTCGTAAACTGTTTTGTCATCAATTAGGCCGTCAGTTTTTTCTATTCAAATGTTTCATATTTTTCATGTCGGGGCCTTTTATAGCCGACCATAGTTTACGGTATATGTTTTTCTCATTGCTGAAGGCCGTACGGTTGCCCATAATTGACTACATCCACTTCATTTTAACTTTGGTGGATAGTTATCTCATTGGCAATCATACCACATCACCTTATTTTTATATTAATATTTAATCATAAAATAAGTATTAAATTGCAGGATCAGACAATATGTTAATATAATCGGAAATAGCGAAATATATAAACCATTGAAAAAAAATCAAGAAATTGACAACACTGTGATCTGGCCGTTTCTATCATAGCTTTAAAACAGTTATTGACAAATACAACTAATTAAAAAAAAGTTGAGTCATTGGACGCAACTTCTGGGTTCTTTAGGCACCAACCATTTATATTTTTGTTTTTTTTATCTAATCTCTCAGGTCAATTTTTATATGACAAACATACTTTTTCCATGACATATAGGAACAGGATTGTTTTTTTTTTATTGATGTTGTTCTTTTCTTTTTCCTTTTTTTTCAATAGAAACAAACATTTTTCCCCATTTCCAATAAATTTAAAATCAAACAATTTACGCAAAAAAATAACTTGATGCGAACTTTATCGAAGATATTTGATTGTTTACTATTTTATTTTACGAAACTTACTTTTTTCCCTGTGACTGATGAATTTTCTGTTTATCTAAAATTATAATTATTATAATTGTACGTTATGACACTTGCTGCACAAAAAAAGGTCGAATTGCACGCCAAACTCCAAATGATGTATATGTACTGTAAATTATGAAATTTTGGGATTAATGCGTAAAAAACAAAAATTGTTGTAATCAGCAAAAGTAAAATTACAGTGAACCTGTCTTTCCACCGAATACGGAACTATTTGAGATTTAAAAAAGGAGGTTAAGTACTCACGAACCAGTGTTACTTAGCCATTTTTAATATGCCTGTCCAGACTCAGGATCTTGATCATCATTTGTTGTCATTGTTGTCTGATGGGAAATATGATTGGCATTCAGTGTAAGATTGATTTATATCTTTCTAGACTAGGTTTAGTCCAGAGCATGACGTATGTTTTTATTTATTTCAGCGTACAGTGGGTTTACAGTAGTCCGGTTATTTGAATGTTTATCATTAGTTGGATACGTAATCAGTATATTGCTGTTAATGGTATATCACCAGTTTCCAGTGTACGGCACCAGGATATTTATTGCTAACATTGCAATAATAGTAACAACAGGTATATTTCAGTAAGAAAAGTACCATTTTCTTGATCAGGGGTCCGAAAGTTAATTATTTACTGTCTATCATTTAATCATTCTGACAGATCATTATTTCCATGTACATGTATATTGGTAATAATTGACAAAGAAGGGGGTCGTCATATATTTTATTTCGGATGCACACGTACATGTATCTAAATTTGTTCCTTTAATTGACTTTTAATTGAAATAATCCAATAATATAATACTGATGATCAAATCAAAATATGATTATAATTTTCTTTTTCAGTTGTGACATCTGTGCTTGGTATTCTATGTTGGGCGACAGGATGTGGAACAACTGTGCAGCATAACTTGTCACTATCATTCGCGTTAGTAATTATTTCGCTGATATTCCCAATGTTATCTGTTTGGTTCCTTGTGATAGAGAGAATCACCCAAGAGGAGAACAAACGAAGGGACAGTTTATCACACCCAGAGAAAACTATAGATTTAATATAATATACACATGTGTGCAATAATTGTAAATTTTAAAATGCTTTTGAAAAGTGCTCAGTTTATAATTTTATCAATAATCCATTGTTGTTTTTTTTTTTTTACTTTAAACGTTTTCGTATGACGAAAGTTTGAGAAGTAAAGATTAATGTATCAACTTTTCCCTTCATGCATTCAGTGTATAGTGATAATTGACCAAGTATAATCATATCATATTGACTGACAAGAAGATCTGACAAGGTCTAACTCTGACATTCAGTTCCTTTAATTGTTTTCAACACCAGCAACAGTAAAATAATTTAATTCATTCAATGATGGGTGCGTATGTTCAGCGACCAACATTGCGAGCATATTCACGACAGTATCGTGTGTTGCATTATAGAATTTAACACACAAGATCGGATAGGAAAGTATTGGTTGATTCATTGATTGTTGTTTGCTTAACTTCAAATGTCAAATATTTCATGCATATTCCAAGCGACAACAAAACAACAATAAAATCAATAGGTAGGCTCTGCAATGTAGTTCGTGATCAACCAGGATGAACAGCAGGAAATTTAGACTGTCACTGGATAAAGAGTAATGATGGAAAGGAGCAGAAATTTTGCCGTGCAACTAGCCACCGTTTAATAAAAAGTATTAGCCTTAAAGTTATCTTACTAATTTTATTAATACTTTTAACAATTTTCATTGAAATCTTATAATACCTTTTGGCTTAATAGATGTACCAAAACAATTTTTACATTAACTTCTAAAACAAAATATACCCAGTTGTCGTGTATAACGTACAGCATGCTTTGATTTCAGTTAATACGACTTTTTGTGGGAAACCGACTCGTCTCAGATGAAAAAAAAAATGGCCCAAAATATGCCCAAATATATAAAAGGCTAAGAAAAGGCTATCATTTCTCATTAACATAAATAGCCAATACAATCTCTACAATAATGCAGTAAAAAATAGGAAAAAAGTCAAAGTTTCTAAACAAAAAGTGCACAGTTCAGAATCTTTTAATTTACAAATTTATAAAAATAAATGTTAAATTGTTAAAAATAGGAAAAGTAACTAAGTATATGCAAGGGGAAGCACGATATCAAAATATTCGAATTGTATTACAGAAAAATAGTGTTTCTTTCTTAACCTCTGAACAAAGAGGGAAATTAATCGGAATTGTAAATTGTTAAAAGCAGCACTTATTGAAACCTAAATCGCATTGTTCTTTATATATGTTTAACCCCACCACATTCTGTATGTATGTGCCTGTCCAATGTCAGGAGCCTGTAATTCAGTCTTTGTCTCTTTGGCAATCATACCACATCTTCTTTTTATATTAATTCAATGTATATATATTTTCCTTAACGTGTATCTTCAAATAATTTGCTCTTTTTTAATACCTTGTGCCTTATACTGTATTATGTAATTGAAAAATAAAGAAATTACAAAAAAAGTAAATGCTGCGAAGTAGTTTACATGAATAAAGTTCAAAAATAAATAAAAATAGTTCAACCTCCTAATTATAAAATGTATACACAAAACATAAATCCATAAAGGCTGACATAAGTAAACAGAAAATTGTTGCCATATCCTCATCCTCAAGGCGAAGAAAACATCGTTCATCCTATCTGTTTTCCTTGGAAGAAAATGTTGTAATATATAATAGCTAATTCAAAGCATTATCAAAAATAATATTTACGAACAGAATATCAAATTCAGTCAACATGACAACAACGGCCATTTCTCAATAGAATTCAATTATGGAATCTCGATCACTAAGATCACATTTCTTGCACGGGTCAACAAGAGAATCTCATTTGTTTCTGACCTACCTTCTCAATCTCTGATCATACATTGTCACACTTTTAGCGAGCGAAAATAAATATAGAAAAACGTCGTAGACTGTCCAAGATTTTCCCCGATCCAACCTTACTGACCAAATCTGTCTTTACACTTGCTACTTATAGCTGAGTGGTACTCTTAACCAAGATCTTCGTCAGCTGACTCGATCTTGCAATGTTTTTGTTGTGGGAACAAATGATGTATGACTTTAAAAGACATACTGCATACCCAGTCTTTTTACATTCACTCTATAGAAAGTTGGATTCGAATTACCACTTTTTTATTAAATTCTTCAACGTGGAATCATGCTTCTTCAATAAATCTCTTTATTTGAAATTAAATTTATAAAAATATATTTTGACCAATTTATGATAAACGAATATGTGTGTCCCTGCTGTTAAACTTTTTCTGAATAAAAACAATATAACGTTTATTGAAATCCGAGACTTCACTGCAAAAACGCGAATACCGAACCAAATGAGAAATATAAAATCCATAAGAACCTGTAGGAACATGTCATTATCAAAGAAAGGAAACGGAAAATTACGATAGAAACGGAAACGTCGTCCCTTCTTTCGTAAACTTAATAAGAAATTCGCCATGTGAAATTCTGATATCAAAGTCTAAAAATGGAAATCGGTTAATAATAATGATTAATAATAATAAAAGATTGTTGTGTCTATAAAACATAAAATTTATATAATTTTTGGTTCTTAAAATGTTAATCAATACATTAAGGTAAGAAAACTGTATATTGAAAACTTACGTATTTTTAATATTGAATGCACAACAAATTATCAAATGTCTTTGTTTGAGGCATTGTACTGAGAACAAGTGACTGCCAGAGACTTTTGATTATATCATACATGAATATTCTTGTGTATATTATCATGCAATTCTGTAAAATATTAAAATAATGATTTCAATGAAAAAGGTAATCTGTTATTTTTTTCTATTATAAATTGTAATCTGTTATTTCTTTTTTAATTTGGATGTTTATTTTTGTATACGACTGCTGTAACGGCAGATGTACATTTTACAACCATCTTAAGAAATGGTACGTATGTTTGTTACAATTCAATGTGCTATAAAATACCTTACAAAAACTGAAAGGCATGATAAGGTACCTACCTATCAGTTGAAATAAGTACTTCATTCTAAATTTTCCTCATGTTTTGAAATAAAAGATTTTCCTAATAAACTTTATCGATACATATATTGGAGATAACTCAGATTACCTTGAATTTACAATTGTAATTTTAGTATGTAAGGGTCGATAACTCTTGTTCAATCTAGGGATTTTCATACAAGGTTTTACATTAAGCTGCAAAGTAATTTCTTTCTGAGACTTGACTTTGTTTTGTGCTGCTTCTTTTTTGTGTATATATTTATGGGGTTATGTATCGAAGAGAGGGGAGTAAAACAGCTTTAATTTCAATTATTTGAAGAATTAACAATGGAGAAATTTCTAGTATATATTTATAACATTATCTAAGTATTAAGATAACTCCTACGTCCAAGTACATGCTAACGCTTTTAGAAATTTAGAATGTTTGGGGTAAGTCTTGTTAGTACTGTCATACATAAACAGATCTAAGACAGCTGACATCATCTTGTCAATTTATTTGCTCTTCGAACAATTTTTAAGTCTTACTCATTTCCTTTAAATGCTTATTTGGATCAATGATGTTATACTCTTGACACTTGGAATGTATCAACCACACATCTGAATAATTAATTTAAAATATGTATCTTCTATACTGTTTATACTGTAATAACACTTAACTCAGGTAATTATTTCAAAGACAAATTTGAATTGTCAGATAGCGAAAATGATTTAAATTCTAATTTTTTTCTATATCTCTATCGAGCAACCACAACATTTAGGAGAATTTTGGCAAATGAATATTCTGTTCTGGAAATAATAATAAAGCTAGTCCCATAAAATGCAGGAATTGATTGTGAACACAATGAAATAAGTAAGCCGTAAAACCACAGGTGACGAAGGACAAACAATAGTGGAAAGGATACCAATAAAAAGGTGCACTAAAATGAATAGTTTATAAAAAGAAAAATCCTCCTGCCTTCACACATCCTCCTGCCAAGAATGAGAGTAGAAGTTCCATTACTCCCTTTGAAATGGTTTTATCAAAATCATTGTATACTATGGTAACCTAAACTTGATGGAAAACAACCCTACCAAGTATGAAAGCTTTTTTGTAAACCGGTCTCCGAGGAGTTGCGCTCATGAGTTATCGTTGTTACAGTAACTCCAAAAATATGTCCAAAGTCCTATAACCCCAGTAAAAATTGTCAAATCAAACTGACGATCATGAGAATATGACAACGAATAACTCGACCAATTATGAAAACTTCCTGTCAATCGGTCTCTGAGTATGTGCTTCGGACGAAAGGACGGATGGAGACTATTACCCCATCCCTGCTACTCGACGAGCCGGGGACAATAAGTGCAGCGAGTCTTGTAAATCATACAATTTTCTTCCTTAATTGTTATTCCTACCATACCACTTAGAAATATCCAATTTTCAGCATTCACCAAAAAAGAACAAGCTAGAACTGTATGACCTTCAAACGTCATTGCCTCTTTATCATAGATTTCTAATCGCCACTATCCACATTGACCTTTACAAAATAAGTATTTTAAATGGTAAAAGTGTATGTTCTGATATGTGCCTCTCTAGCTGCTCTTGTGAACTATTTGTTTTCCCTTTTCTACTGATTAAATCCCTAAATAAGCCATTCAATATCCAATGACTTTGGAGCTTGGGTCACAGGACTGAATTAAAGTGTTATTAAATAATGTGAATGATTCTTTGGCGAATCTTTATAAACACATGGTCGATGACATTCCTGATGGACGTTTCGTCCCCTGAGCGTATCTCCAGCTCAGTAGCATTTTTGTACCGACATGACATATCATTATTACTTGTAAATTTACTGTTTACAAAACTTTATATTCATTCAAATAATAGTTTGCCTAATAAACCAAAGAGAAACTAAATTATAAATATATAGAAATATGACCGAGTATATCAATGCAACTTTAAAGGGAAAGTCCGCGATTTTTTACTTATCATCTAAATATGTTCATCTTAACATAAAAAACACATTCACAAAGTTTTAAATTTATATTCTTTCTAATAACGGAGAAAATCAAGTATTTGTAACTTTTTTGGTTGACCTACGTCACTGGGTTGTGACGTTTTAACCCGATTTGTTGAATCATGGGAAAAAATAAAATCTGTTAAAGTCTTAATTGCTTATCAGAATTTTACGTAATTAAAAGCGCACAGATGACCGTTGGTCGTAGTTAATAACCACAATATAAGAATGAAAGAAAATGAATATGTGTGTACCGTTTTGTAATGATTGAATAAAACTTCCTATATGAAGTTAGAATCATGTGCAAAACAGTGTAGCCGAGACCATTGACTGGCGCGCTAAAATATCCCATTGACTGGGTCAGATTAGGTGAACGTTCGTCTGTAACGCCCACAACTCACGACGTATTTATTATAAACATTTAAACTGTGGGGTCATCAAAGGGTCTCAACGCCTAAATAAAATAATTCGAAAAACTAATCAGGAATAACCTTTGTGTTTTGATTTATGTTGAATACTTAAACGTTCTTTACTTGTGTTTTTGTTATGTTTTGATAATGATTTTTTATGATATCGGACGTTCTTTCAGCAAAAAAGGATTTAACTGGCTTTAAAAGTTACAATGGATGTGTTGATTATTATCTTTTTTTCGGACGTCAAAGCAATTTAACAATTGCGGTTGTCCAATTATGTCATCTTTTAACTTTTATCTGGTCAAAATTTTATTTTAGAACGAATGCGTGATCAACTTTAAAAAGTGTGCAAACACAAAACATATAGACAAAATATACTTCTTTCCTGTCTTTTTCGTACTTGCAAGTTATTAGACAGTAAAAAGGCTATTTGGATCAAGCCTTGTGAAATTTGCATTTACGTTTTTGAATAGGTAAAATGTATAGTTTGGTGATCTTTTCTGCTAACTACTATACTTGTGAAAAACCCTTGGCGACAGAAACATGTTCAGCTTTTTTTTTTAATCGACCCAATTTACATAGTAATGGACGACTTCGTACATTTTATGATCGCAAATAAAATATGTATATAATATACTGTGCACTGTAGTTCGTATATATACTGAGACCCTTTGGCAACCCCACAGTTTAAATGTTTATAATAAATACCTCGTGAGTTGTGGGCGTTACAGACGAACATTCACCTAATCTGACCCAGTCAATGGGATATTTTAGCGCGCCAATCAATGGTCTCGGCTACACTGTTTTGCACATGATTCTATCTAAATATAAATATTTTCGAATAAATTTCATAAATTATTGTGATTTTTTCATACAATATCTATAGAACATTTTTACTGATATTGAACTGAAAATATTTTAAGTTTTATTTACCGTTATAACTTTGATTACCATTTCAATGCAAAATATTTGTGAACAGAGTGTGTATATTATTTTGTAAAGTCATTGTTTATTTCTCGATTTGAGGAGAATTCGTTTGAACTTTACCTTGCAGCAATTTAGCCTCAGGCGTACACAGGTGTGAATTCAAGCGAACACAGGTGTGAATATTGTCATTTTGAATGGTAAACAGAAAGAGTATAGCGTGTTTAATATACCCAGATGAAATACCCGATGACAATAGAGAAACAATAAATAAATTGTATAAATTAATTGAAAATTAACATTCAACTTTTTAATTCCGGAAGTGTTACAATATTAAAATGGAATAATTTTCGGTTACGTTCTATGCAATTAGCATAAAGTTAAGATATGAAGTTAAAAGAATAGTACTTTTAATCTTAAAAATTAAATGTTACATTTCCCAATTAATAATCATTGCACATCTGTTTAATTTACTTTACCGGAATTCTTTTACTTGTATTTAAATCTGGCGATGTTTAAATGCTAACAATCGTAAAACTATCGCAATTTTAAAGTTTTTAATTGAAAAAATACAGCAGTACAACATGCATGATTTTTTTTAATTTTCTTATTAACATTTCATTCTTACATAATTAATTCATTTGACAATCACTTAGATAAATTATTTGTGAAAAGAATACCAATTACCGTTTGTTTCATTAATGAATATACATACATTATAAATCTAAGCTAATACATTAATTTGTTTGAGGATTTTTTTTAGGATAGCTGTCATTAATCCAAATTAGTAATACAGTTGTTGTAATTAAAGGCATATCTTAGTAATGTATTACTGATATTGACGATCTTAGAACAGTTCGTCCCAACCTCGTTGTTCTTGAAAAAATCTTTACTAGTATACTTGTAAGTTTCCTGACGTATATGCGCCATTGAGGATGAGCTCCAGAGATAGCAGACTAGTAGCGTATTTGTTTGTTGGGGCAGGAGAGGCCATGCAACCACTTGTACAGATAAACAAGCTTATGTTGTCAACACTACCAGAAAGAGTTCCCATCGTCGGATGGGGTATATGAAGGTTCCAAGAATGAACTATTGACATGTCTGACTCTGAACAGTTAGTAAACGGACTTAACAATGATCTATAGACATCGATCGCTTGTTCTTGATATTTGAAACTGCATGCATATATACGTTTATGAGAGTGATTATTAATCTTGTGTCTGACGAAAACTAAATGCCTGCATGGTTATATCTTGCCATACGTTTGTATTGGTTTGGTGGGTGTTCACTCAAAATCGTAATTCAAAAATTGTGTTTGTGAGATGTAGATTCACTTCAATACCGAATTTCGTCTATATATTTCACAAGTGTATACCACGGAAAAGATCTGAAGGTATATTACTCCCATTTTGTTTGGGTGTGAACCATCGATGTTTACAGCAATATTTAATGAATAAGATGATGATGGTAGAAAGAACATGAGCGTCATGTGGCAAATATTACATGCATGTCGGACCATGAGTTGTCAATATGTATGAAAAGATTTCCAATACAACCATATTGAGTAGGAATTTTTACATGCTATACTCTCGTACTAGTATTACAGGGTTCTTGTGTCGTTTAACTCGGACACACATCTTTTACTTTAAGATGTATGAAAGGTTCTAAATATATATATATATATCTTAAATGTAACAATAATCAAACGCCTATAGGCAATCACTAAAATGGTATGAAGTTTTTATACAGATTTATTCTTATTTACACAATCATTAACAAACTAAATAAATTTAACAAAGTAACACCGTGACACTACGATATAAGTAATAGTTATACACCGAGGGATAGGTGTGTCTGGATAAGAAACCCCGTCGGCCGGAGGCCGGAGGGGTTTCTTATCCCGACACGCCGTATCCCGAGGTGTATAACTAACTTACACCCCATTCTAAACCCTATATTTGTTAACATTGATTATTAAATGAAAAAAAAAAACGATAGCATATTTATTGACAATATCAAACCATGATTTATGAAAATATTTGTTTTATTACATGAAACCCCACTAGTAACCTTTCTTTGGTTATCTTCGTTCAAACTTTGACAAGTGAGTATATTTTACAAATGTCAAGTTGTTTTGCATATTCCCGTTAAATCCATGTGCTAATATGGATCAGCAAGTCAAGGTTGATTGTTTCGTGTATTCTTATTACAAACAAAAAATACATCATACTCCTGATATACAGTTGTCAATATGGACGGGTATAAGACGGACGACATTTTGTGGCAAGCGTTGGATTTGGTATAAGAGACTAAAGACAAAGACAATATTATAACCCAAAGTACTTACCTGTATCAGTTTATTAAAGGTAATCATAACTGTATTTTATATCTTACGATTTTATCAAAAACAAAAGCCACCCCCCTCCTCCTCCCCCCTCTTCTCGAGAATAAACAAACATTCATATTCGAACATTCTAAGGGATAGGTGTGTCTGCATTAAAAACCCGACTACCAGACATGCTCAACACACAATATTTAATATAGAGGAACTCCCTTTTTGTGGGCAATCAGGGGCTGATCCCGGGGGTTCCCAACTCAAGAGAAAAGGGGGCTGGGGTCCAACCATTCAAATGCATTGCTCTTTTAAATAAAAGTCGGGTCCAACCCGCGGAACCCGCAACCCCGGATCGGCCACTTGGTAACCGGGGGGGGGGGGGGGGGGGTCCGGGGGTTAAAATCCCCATTTTTTTTAAAGAGCAATGCTTTAGAATAGAGACATATGACTGGGATAAAAAAAAATTACCTTCAAGCAAAAGAGTATTTAAAGGATTATTTTTGTATTCCATATAGATGCTTATTGGAATTTCCTAAAATGTTTTTTTTTAAATATCATGAAACAATTTGTAGTGAACATTATTAGCAATTTCTTATGTTCATGCTATTTAAAAAATAATCAATTTCTATTGTTACGAATAACAATGGACTTTGTTTGCGGGGTGTAGAAGCAGGGGTTTCTGGAAAACCCTGCTTCTACATCCCGTAAACACAATCCATTGTTATTCATAACAATAGAAATTGATTATTTTTTTAAATAGCATGAACACAAGAAATTACAAATAGTGTTCACTACAAGTTGTTTCAAGATATTAGAAAAACACATTTTAGGAAATTCCAATAGCGAAAAAAATATTTAGCATCTATTTTGAATTAAAAAAAATCCTTTAAATAATCCTTTGCTTGAAGTTAGAATTTTTTATCCCAGTCATATGTCTCTATTCTAAAGCATTGATATAAAAAAAAAAAACGGGGATTCTTAACTCCCGGACCCCCCCCCCCCCCCCCCTTCCCCTTCTTGATTGCCCCCAAAAAGGGAGTTCCTAAATATTCAATCTGTATTTTTGTATGTTGAGCGTGTCGGGTCGTCGGGTTTCTAATCCAGACACACCTATCCCTCAGTATGTCCGAACATGAATGTTTGTTATAATTATAGGGAGGGGTGTCTTTTTTTTCAAACCGTAACATATACAATTTTATAATTACCTTCATTAAACTGATACAGGTAAGTACTTTGGGTTATAATATTGCCTTTATCTTTAGTCTCTTCTACCAAATCCAACGCTTGACTCAAAATGTAGTCCGTCTTATACCCGTCCATATTGACAACTACATACAAGGAGCATGATGTATTTTTTTTTTTGTAATAAGAATCATGAAACGGTCAACCTTGACCTGCTGATCCATATTAGCACATGGATTTAACGGGAATATGCAAAACAGCAACGTTGACATTTTTAAAATCTACTCACTTGTCAGTTTGAACGAAGATAGCCAAAGTAAGGTTACTAGTGGGGTTTCATGTAAAACAAAAATTCTTATAAATCATCCAGACACACCTATCCCTCGGTGTATAACTATTACGGATACTAATTATTTTTAACCATGCTATGCAGAAACTTTACACATCAAGCAGGAACATATATATTAATATACTGTTCCCAGCATCAAGTTAGTGCACGTGAATACCAATTAGGTACACGATGTGTGATTTTGTAGTAAAAATATCAAAGCGAGCAATAACTTTGTCAAGCAAACATTTTTTTTTCACTATGCCTCTCTTTATCTCCGCTCCTTTACAATAACTATTTCGCTTTTCGTCGATCATTCTCTATATTGTTCTCTATTCGGTTATTTTATTTTCACTATGCCACTCTATCTCCGCTCCTTTTTCCCATGTCGTCCTACTCCTTATAAAGATAGAGACATTAGACATAGAAGGGGCTCTCTTATCTTCAATGTATTAATATTGATAGTGACTATAAGTGCTGCATTACTTTATATATCTGCATGTTTGCCAATCGACAAAAGCTTGTATTTGCGTGAAAATTTTTTTTTCTTCAAAAATATGGTCCAGAATCATGACAAAACAATATTCATTTCAAATGTTCAAAGGTCATGTTTATAATTTTTTTAAAACTTATTATCAGCAAGGATTTCTATACAAATCCTTGTTATCAGCAAAAATAGTGGATAATATTATTATCAGAACATCATTCATTAAAAGGTGGAATTATAATTTCAAACACACACAAGATAAACAACGTTAGACACAAATATATGGTTCAATAAATGTTACCTGTGCACACCGGGTACCTCAATAAAGAGGCCATGCATGAACCTGTATTATATAATTGTGTAATACGAATTTTTAGTTGACAGGATGTCACTGGAATACCCAGGGACGTGTATCTAATATACGTCCTTGGAATACCTAACTGAATGTGTCGCTCTGACACGACATCTATCAATAATTCTGACATACCTATTATCAATTCGGGAGGAAGCCAAAAAATATATATAATAAGATAACGTAAATATAATTTAAAAAGAAAAAAACCTAAAAAAATTTCACCGAACATACCAGATAGAGTCACACATTTAACTGTAAAGCTAAGTGTCTTTATAAGTGACCGTTCCGAATAGATCCCGTATCAATTTGATATAATTTAAAGATTAGTTAAAAAAAAACCACTTTTAATAAAAAAATTGAGATGTCCGATATTTCGATATTTACATATCTATTACCTGGGAATATTATACTATATCCACATATTATGTCCCAGCTAAAACCTCTTCCTAACATTGCTCCTTGTCAATAGCCGTTAAATATCATAATTAAAAAAATGTTATTTCATATCGTATTACTTTATTAATTGAAAAATTATCTTGTCTAAATACGGAACTATTCTTTATACAAATCAATGCACTTTATATAAAAGAGGCATACTAATGAATCTTCTGTAAATCAGTGATTGTTACAAGAACACTGCATTTGTCTTTCTTATAATTGAAACTGTTCTTCCTCATCAAATCTATAATTATTTTTTTTGTTATTAAAAAAGGATTATTACCATCGAATCTCCCTCGAAACAATATTGTTCAAAATGGTCTTCACACACCAACTTGTGCTTGCTATAGATGCAACTATTTGCTGTTAGTTTAAGGTTTTACAACCATGTCTGATACAATTCTTTCTTTTTTTGTGGGATTGGGAAAACTATGTAGACTTTTGTCATAACCTTGTCTGACAGAACAACCGTACTCTTGACAAGACATTTGACATTGAATAACCGTCTACGGTAATCCCCAATTGATGATGGGAGTTTTTAACGCACGGTCGGTAAATCCCCGATTCTTTTTGTTCTTTGTGGTTTATAGATATCACGTGACTTTTTAGATCGAACATGCCGACAAGTAGGCGATATGTCGAGAACTTTTGTGAATTTCAAAAATCGATTTTGATCTCTTTACATAGAGAATAAAAGTTTTTTATTTATGAACATGTGGTTTTTTATGCTTAAAGAACAAAATATCAATTTTTCATTTTTTTGCGGAGTTTCCCTTTAAACCGGATATTTTAAAATGAAGGTACCAACATCGATTTTGAATGGCGGCGACATAATATAAATTATATTTACAATGAATATGATTTTTAATTCAGGAGGAACTTATACTAAATATAGAACATATGAACCTTAAACCTCTTTTCTTTTTACTCTTAAAACATTTAGATCAGTAACCGCAGTTTTATTGACCTTTTGTAGCAATATCCGTTTATAATATACATAAATATTTTTTAATTGTTCATAATGATTGAGATAACAAAAAATCATAAATTCTGTCTTGGATTTCTTATAGCAGGTTTTCTGATTCACTTTGCTGCTTTCGCTATGCCTTTTTGGAATTTCTTTGTGCTAAACGACTTGATGGGGACAAAGTCTTTTAGACTAATAAGTATAGGCCTATGGCAAGCTTGTTTTAAAATGGGAGGCAAGTACTGGTGCCAAGGATACACAGGTAAACACTTCCTTTGTATTAGAAAAAATCGGAGAAAACAAACCACAAGAAGGTTTTCAAATATATTGCAAGGAGCAAATACAACTTATATACAGGAGTTTCGTCGTATTATCTGTTTACTTCGGTTACTGTCTCATTAACATATACATTTGTACATACACTTTTCTTTTCCTTTATTATACTTTTGATACTGCTATCAGAATAAATGTTAGAATATTTATCCATATATGAAATTTTTGGTTGAAATATTACCTTTACGAAGCTTTGATGAAATAGGCCTTATAGACGTATTGATAAACACTATGATTTGACATACTACAACTACAGACGAGGTCCTGAACTAATTGAAAAAATACCAACCTTTCTTTTATTCTATAGCCATGTCTACAGTTATAGATGAAAGCAAAACCCAATAAGAGCATATTTAGTGATAAATCAAAAATTAGAACATTGAATAGTTGATGAATTGTAAACGTAAAAGAGATGACCGTCCGATTAATGTCATCTCAGATTCTGATAAAAATGTATGCCATAAAGAAAAGAGTACAGGACACACAATAACATAGATAATCTATAGACCTTTCGAACACAGTCATCATATTCAGATTAGGTGGGGATTCCATGATAAGTACGTAAAAATCGTTAATTCTATTCTCTTTAAGTTTAGACTCGTCGCATTGTAATATTACTTAACCAACCAAAAAATTGGAACAAAGACAACTGTCAACGAAGTTTTTTCAATAAGTCAAATTAAAGCTGAAGCATCTGTCGCCATAAAGTAAAAATCTCCAATTCATTGATGGAATAAAAAACGAAATGCAGATTTGCATCGTCTTACGAAGAGTCATCGACATTTACACCCAAATCTTTCCTGTGTATACAATTATTTCTTTGATGAATAATCAACAACGTCTTCCGCAAGTCATTTTACGTTATAAGTATTCAACGGAAACATTATACAACAGCACTTACAAAATTTTTAATTTAGTCAGATAAGAGTTCAAATTAAAAAATCTTCCTTAAGAAATCAATTATATCCATATATAATATCTTAACGGTATTGTTTGTTATTGTTTTGTTTGTACTTTTGTTTGAAAACAAAAATATTCATTAAACCGTCATCATTGAGTTTCGTGCTTTTTCCTGTTATTATTTTCATTACATATTCTTTTGTACACACCTTTGGTAAGTCTACAGTGACTAATAAACATAAAAATGGAGCAGTAATGAAATTTCTAAACTATATTTTTGAATAGTTTAACACACCACATCCAAAGTTCGTGCATGTGTCTTCTTTAGTCAGTGGTTGTCATTAGTCGTATCTTAAATACATTTTCCTCTAGCGAATTGATTATGATGACAGATTTTTATAGTCTCGGTAGTAATTTTCTTAAATATCTTCTCATTGAATCCTGTTCTTTTTTGAACGAGCGGTTATATTATAATTACTTTTTTACGGCACTGTTCTTTTGGAGGCCTCGTTCAAGACATCACGATTTCTTGAAAATTCAAAGACAACAAACTTAATATTTAAGCATACAATAAGTTTTAAATTGAAGGATCAGACAATATGTTAATATAATCGGAAATAAACGAAATATATACATCATTGAAAAGAATCAAGAAGTTGACAACACTGTGATCTGGTCGTTTTTATCATAGTTTCATAACATTGACAAAGACGATTAAAGTTGAATCATTGGACGCCACTTTTGGATTCTTCAGACACAAACCATTTATATATATATATATACATATACGAATTATATATACATATATATATACAGCACAATTAAACAACATTTTCCAAAAGTCCAAAAAAGTGAAAAAGTATATTTTAACAAAACGGATTTGACTAGCAGGTCGAACAACGGATGTTTTTAAACCCTGATGACTGCCATTGGCGATTGCCAAATAAACGGATCACCAGATGTTACAAAATGGATCTTAATTATTAATTAAATACCAAACAGAAAACAATAAACTTGCGGAAAAGATGATATACCGCAAACAAAAGGTGCAAAAATTAGTACACCATATCCGGATTTCGACAATAAATGTCTCTTCAGTGATGTTAGGAATCGAAACGGTATTTGGAAGGCCATATAATTTACCTCAATTTAGGATAGACTCTTGAATTTTGAAGAGTCAAAATAGGATGAACGGATCATATCATATCGTTTGGGCTTGTATTATATTTGCCTTCGGGTTTATATGATCCGTTCATCCTATTGCGTAAAAAACAAAAATTGTTGTATTCAGCAAAAGTAAAATTACAATGAACCTGTCTATTTACCGAATACGGAACTATTTGAGATTAAAAAAAACAGGAGGATTAAGTTCTTACGAAACCAGTGCAACTTGACCATTTTTAATATGCCTGTCCAGACTCAGGATCTTGATCATCATTTGTTGTCATTGTTGTCTGATTGGAAATATTATTGGCATTCAGTGTAAGATTGATTTGCATCTTTCTAGACTAGGGTCAGTCTAGAGCATGACGTATGTTTTTATTTATTTCAGCGTACAGTGGTTTTTCAGTAGTCCGGTTATTTGAATGTTTATCATTAGTTGGATATGTAACCAGTATAATGCTGTTAATTGTTTATCACCAGTTTCCAGTGTACGGCACCAGGATATTTATTGCTAACGTCGCAACAATTATTACAACAGGTATATTTCAGTAAGAAAAGTATCATTTTTTTATCAGGGGTCCGAAAGTTATCTATTTACTATCTTTTATTAAATTATTCTGACAGATCATTATTTCCATGTTCATGTAAATTGGTAATCATTGACAATGAAGAGGGTCGTCATATTTTTTTATTTCGAACGTACATGTATCAAAAATTTGTTCCTTTAATTGACTTTTAATTGAAATAATCCAATAATATAATATTGATGAGCAAATCAAAATATGATCATATTTTTTTTCTTCAGTTGTGACATCTGTACTTGGTATTCTATGCTGGGCGATGGGATGTGGAACAACTGTGCAGCATAACTTGTCACTATCATTCGCGTTAGTGATTATTTCGCTGATATTCCCAATGTTATCTGTTTGGTGCCTTGTGATAGAGAGAATCACCCAAGAGGAGAACAAACGAAGGGACAGTTTATCACACCCAGAGAAAACTATAGATTTAATATAATATATACACATGTGTGCAATAATTGTTTTAAAATGCTTTTGAAAAGTGCAGTTTATAATTTTATAATGCTTTTGAAAAGTGCACAGTTTATAATTTTATCAATAATCCATTGTTGTTTTTTTTTTTTTTTTTTTACTTTAAACGTTTTCGTATGACGAAAGTTTGAGAAGTAAATATTAGAACATGTATCAACTTTTCCCTACATGCATTCAGTGTATAGTGATAATTGACCAAGTATAATCATATCATATTGACTGACAAGAAGGTCTGACAAGGCCTAACTCTGACATTCAGTTCCTTTAATTGTTTTCAACACCAGCAACAGTAAAATAATTTAATTTATTCAATGATGGGTGCTCAATGTTCAGCGACCAACATTGCGAGCATATTCACGACAGTATCGTGTGTTGCTTTATAGAATTTAACACACAAGATCGGATAGGAAAGTATTGGTTGATTTATTGATTGTTGTTTGCTTAACTTCAAATGTCAAATATTTCATGCATATTCCAGACGAGATTAAAACAACAATAAAACCAATAGGTAGGCTCTGCAATGTAGTTCGTGATCAACCAGGATAAACAGCGGGAAATTTAGACTGTCACTGGAAAAAGAGTAATGATGGAAAGGAGCAGAAATTTTGCCCTGCAACTAGCCACCGTTTAATAAAAAGTATTAGCCTTAAAGTTATCTTACTTATTTTATTAATACTTTTAGCAATTTTCCTTGAAATCTTATAATCCTTTTGGCTTGATAGATGTACCAAAACAATTTTTACATTAACTTCTAAAACAAAATATACCCAGTTGTCGTGTATAACGTACAGCATGCTTTGATTTCAGTTAATACGACTTTTTAAGGGAAACCGACTCGTCTCAGATGAAAAAAAAATGGCCCAAAATATGCCCAAATATGTTAGTCACATGACTTTCATTGTTGCTTTTCGAAATGGGATCAAACCGGGGTCATCTATCCTGTTCGAGCAGAGAAAACAATTAAAATGTATATTTGAGACAATGTATGGTTATTCTCTTTATACTGCAACTCTTACAACTGTTCCAAATGAAATATTTTTGGTAAAACCCATCATTTTTTAATATAAGCGGTCGACGTAAAATTTTCGCGAACCTGCAGTCTCTATTGACGTTATTAATAAAACTACAATTTTAAGGCAAATGTAACCGGGAGACTGGCTACTGATTGATGATGATAACGAGCTGCAACCAACGACCGATTGCAGATGTTTGCGATGCCAACATTAGACAATGACTAAGACTTGGTCACTTGCCTGAGAATACTCGCTTGAACTCCACTTGTAGAATTAGACACAAGTCCTATGCAGTAGTTAACAATTTATTGATTCAGGATGGAATACATGTACTTTTACAAATGAGCGGATGTTGTCAGTACGAATGCCCGACTCTCACTGAAGTTAGAACTTCAGAAAACATATTTAAATCAAGAATTTACATGGTTACAATAATAGAAACGAGATTACCGAATGACAATGATTAATACAATTAGCACTTGAAAGATTAACAAAAGAATATTACAAAAATCTGTCGTTTGAGTTTAAGGCTTAATAGCGCTAATTGAAATGACTAAAGGATTATTTATTCTTTACATAAGAAAATTTAAGAACTATACAAAGCTGTGACTTTATCTATTATTTACAAATAGAATTATCTTGAAACAAATTTCCGACCTTGTAAAAATATACTGACACTTAATTGTTACTTATAACACAAAAAGCTTTTTAAAGAAAAATCGTTACATGTTAATAAAATTACTTTGACGGACAAATATTGCAAATAAAATGATTTAGATGAAACGTTAATAAGTATAACACTATAATGACATTTTATGACCGAGCAGTTTGTCAGTGAAAGTCCATAAATATCAGATTTAAGGAAACTAATCCTTTTAAATAGTTTCAAATAAAAATGCACAATTTACACAAATTATCCCTATCACAGATTCCCTCCCCTTTGAAATCCAAAGCGTCCCCGCTTTGAGGTTAAATTAAAACTATCTCCTACGAAACTGTCTTTTTTCTCGAAAATGTTTGTTGCTATTTGCTGATGGATCGTTTGTCTGTTGCTGCATTAATTTTAATCGATTATTTTCATGCGATAATATTTGAATAATTTTATACAGTTCATCACTACGACAAATGAGTCTGTCCTTTTCGTTTTTGTGTTTTTCTTCTTGTTTTGTAATCCATGTTTGAGTTTGCTTGTTGAGACCTGTTATTATGTTAACAAAATTTTCACTATCACTGAGTTTATATTCAAGTTGAGAAATTTTGTCTGAATATTGTTGGATAGTTTTTGAATCTTGAATTGCTGAGTCTTCTATTTGCTTCTTTATGCTTGTGTTTTCATGCTCGAACTCTGTTAGCTGGTCTTGCAATTTTGTTATATCCTTTCTGTGTGTGGCTTTACATTCGTGCAGTTGACTTTTTACAGACTTTAGTTCGGAACGAAGAATAAATGAAACGTCCAAGCAATTTTGAAAAGCTGTAGATCTTATGCCAGAGAATGGCAACTCGCGCATTGCATTTTTTTCTTTCAAAATATTCGTCCAGTCTTTTGATATCGCGTTCCCTTTTATGCTTTGTTTTCTTGACGAGCTGTAAATAGTTTGAAGATTGACTTGATTTACTCCAACACTGCCTTCAATAATGTCCGAATTTGTTGCATTTGAAGCATTGTTTATCTATCGCTGAACATGTTCCAAAGTGATGATTTTGTAATCCACATCTGACACACATTAGATTTTGACAGGAATAAAATGTCCACGTTCTCCATTGAGGACGAAAACTATATTCCATCGCTGAATAAACTGAGATGATGGGAACTAGCGATCCTCCACCATAAATGTAACCGGGAGACTGGCTACTTGATTGATGATGATAACGAGCTGCAACCAACGACCGATTGCAGATGTTTGCGATGCCAACATTAGACAATGACTTAGACTTAGTCACTTGCCTGAGAATACTCGCTTGAACTCCACTTGTAGAATTAGACACAAGTCCTATGCAGTAGTTAACAATTTATTGATTCAGGATGGAATACATGTACTTTTACAAATGAGCGGATGTTGTCAGTACGAATGCCCGACTCTCACTGAAGTTAGAACTTCAGAAAACATATTTAAATCAAGAATTTACATGGTTACAATAATAGAAACGAGATTACCGAATGACAATGATTAATACAATTACCACTTGAAAGATTAACAAAAGAATATTACAAAAATCTGTCGTTTGAGTTTAAGGCTTAATAGCGCTAATTGAAATGACTAAAGGATTATTTATTCTTTACATAAGAAAACTTAAGAACTATACAAAGCTGTGACTTTATCTATTATTTACAAATAGAATTATCTTGAAACAAATTTCCGACTTTGTAAAAATATACTGACACTTAATTGTTACTTATAACACAAAAAGCTTTATAAAGAAAAATCGTTACATGTTAATAAAATTACTTTGACGGACAAATATTGCAAATAAAATGATTTAGATGAAACGATAATAAGTATAACACTATAATGACATTTTATGACCGAGCAGTTTGTCAGTGAAAGTCCATAAATATCAGATTTAAGGAAACTAATCCTTTTAAATAGTTTCAAATAACGATGCACAATTTACACAAATTATCCCAATCACACATCGCCAACGCCATAAACAAGTGGATACGCTGTCAGGAACAGTATATATCATAAATGAAAAAACGGTCAATGCAATTTGACTGCACAAATAGCACAGTTACAGTATAAAAATGAGTTGACGCAGAATTAAAAATTACGTCCGTTTCTTTCTAATTTTGCAAATCTGTATTCGCTCGTTGTAAAATACAGAGGACAATATGACAAGTACGAATGCAATGTAGTTTGATTGTTTGATTGATTGATTGATTGATTGATTGATTGATTGATAGGTGGTAAAAGCCACTTTCAGCACTATTGGCTATTTTGTGGCCTGTCAGTTTTTATTGGTGGATGAAGTCAGAATGCCCACTTACAATCCTAGTCAATAAAGATTGGAGTCGAGCGCACCTGCCACATGCGGGATTCGAACTGATCACAACCTCTGTGTTGACAGGAAATTAAATCAGATACAGTAGTAGGACTACTTAGACCACTCGGCCACTGAGGCCCCTGAAAGAAATGTAGAATTTTTCTGTGAGCTTGGGACCTAGTTTTAAAGATTTTCAAAATAATGAACATGAATGACATATTTGCCAATGAATGTCAGAAAGCTAGGAATGATTCATTCTTAATACGTTTGTATTTCACAGACAGAAAAAGACATTATCAAACCTGAAGAATAATCTTTAAACCTGGAGTTTGCCAGAAGAAAAGACCAAATGCATTTCAAAAATATTCCATGATGGAGTAACTTTCAAAGTGATTTTTTTTTTACATTATTTTAGGGAATTCTTGACTTATTTAAGCTTGGAATTCACTAAACAAAAATATTTACGCTAGTGTTCAATAAATGAATAGAGATGAGGATTGGTTTCAAATGAAAAAAAAACTATCCACCAAAGAGCAAAGGACAAGGATGTAGGGCACTTAGTCCTTGTTATGACGTCTGAAGGCCGTTTTTATGATTTGCTTGGGTTGTCACCAAAAACAAATGGACTACAGGCTCCTGGATCATGGTAGCACTCATAATTTTTAACCACCTTCGTTCCCTTGCTTTCTAACAAATTAAGGGTACTGTATGTGTCATGTATGTGCATATGTATGGAAACGGCATCTTCCATAAATTAGATTTCCAAAAGTTAAAATGGTGAAATATAATCGCTTTTTGGTGTAACAAAGGCAACAAACAGCATTTAGTTGATACAAAATATTGCAAAATTGGGATGTACAAGTTTGGTCCAAAGTAGAATTTCAATCCATGAGTGATACCTTTTCTGAAACCATTGACATTTATCTATCAAGAGATCAACTAAAATTTATATGCATTTCACATCATTTTTCCATAAAACTGCATCGAAAAGTTCGAGCGAAAATAAATCATTGGTAAACACGACAATAATTTCCTTTGACCGGTACGGATGTAAATAAACGGACTGTCAAACAGAAAATGGCCTATGAAACATGCAAAATCAATCTTGAAGTTCATATATTTTTCTTCAGCTATTTAAAAATTATTTTATTGCGCAAC